TATGCATTTGTATTTATGAACTTTGACAAATGATTTCTGAAGGTATCATGTTTGTCCTGGCAATAACAGATATTTGCACAATAGAGTTTTTTAGGGAAAATACCTTGTCTTGTAATACAAGGCAGAGATCATAAATTACAAAGACAAAAAGGAGGTAGTTAGGACTGAAATCAGCAGAATTCAGAGGCAGCATTCAGAGAGACTGACAGAGAGAAGGAAGATAAATGATAATTGAATTCAAGAATCAAGGACAGAAGTATAACCACCTTCCATTAAGGACTGATCACCAAGACAGTACATGAACAAGAACCTGAAGATAGAGGGCTTACTGAGAACTACCCATATATGTGGTGGTAAATCATTCGAACATAAAACAGATTCTAGGAAGATAAGTTAGGAAGCAAGGGAGTCTTTGTAATGGAACCTATTCCACTACAAACCCTTTTTCTCTCAATCAAGCAGAACCCATTGCTCTGTTTCTGAACCTACTCTTCTGTTTCTGGTGCTTGCAGGATACCTTTTCAGTTTAAAATTCCAACATAAAAACACTTCTAGTCCATGAGACAGGTGTATGAAGGGAATGACTGATGGACAGTCTCCTCATTATCCCAGTTCCTAACTTAATGTGGATGTGTCAAAGTCCCTATGCTTCATTTAGAAAAGACAGAAGAGAACAGTCTTCTCTTAGTGAGGGCCTCTCTCTCCAGTCTTGGTGCTTTCATATTATTTGTGCACTTTTCTGCTCTTATTTCTTTCCTAGCATGACACACCAAATGCACAATTTTTGACTATCTAAAGGAGAACACAAGCCAGGCCCAAAGAAACATAGGCCCCATGGTTTCCCTTATTTGTAATAACTAGTATATGTCTGAGACAAGCAGAAAAGGTCAGATATGTTGATGTTAGGTGAAATGAACCACAAGATAAGTATTCAAAATTTTTACTTTCATGTGATTGTTTCTAACATATTTATAAGATTATTTCTTTGTTGCTTTGTATGTACCTCCCCCACAGCATAACCCCTGCTTTCACTGTATTTGATGTTGGTATAATTTGTAGAGGGGAAGGGGAAAAACAAATCGTTTAAATAGGGATACAGGTGGACCCATTGCAACAATGAGATGTACAAGTTGTTATGTCAAAAAATGAACTTTACAACTTTGGGGGGGAAGGGGGAGGATATCGGGGGGAGGCGGGATATGGGAAGGGATGGGAAGGGGAAACAAAGGAGGAAGCAACAATGCTTGATAAGAAGTGACTCATTATCTTGCCCATGTAATTGTAACTCCTCTGTATGGTATTTTCATAATAAGTTTTTTTTAAAAAGGAGAGCACAATTGTTACAACCAAATATTTACCCTTGAAAAGAGAATGTCTTCATCCTCTGGCCCCTGCTTCACCTTTCTGTATGCTCCAAAATGTGCCATGCTGACATGATGTGTGAATCAGACAAACCATCCTGGGTTCAAGTTTCAGATCCACCACAAGCTGTCACAGTGTCTTTACATGAGGGATTTAATCTTAGTTTCCACAGTTGTAAATGAGAAAAAAAAAGATGGGATAGCATGGTGTCACATATCTGTAACCATAGCACTTCTGAGACAGAGACAAGAAGATCACAGGGTTGAAGAAAGGCCAACCTGGATCACAATGCAATGCCCCCCGACACACACACGATTAGAATTACACTATCTTCCTATCATGATATAGAGCAAAGGTGGATAAAATACCTTGGATTCCTGGCCCCAAAAGAGTAGTGTTAGTTATAGATGATGGTGGCACATGCCTGCAATTGTTGGCAGGCTGAGATCAGAGGATCACAGTTTGAAGCTGACCTGGGCAGAAAAGTCTGTGAGACTCTTTTTCTCCAATTAACCATCAAAAAGTCAGAAGTAGAGTCCTTAAGCAAAAAAGCTAAGGGACAGTGCCCAGGTCTGGAATTCAAGCCCCAGAACACACACACACACACACACTCTCTCTCTCTCTCACACACACACACATAAACACATACAGACACAAAATCATAAATGTAGTCATGTATCCCCTTAATTTATAGGAATAGGCAAAAAATAGTAAGTATTTCCTGTTCTTTTTTCATGCACCAGTTTCCTAGGAGTCTTCTGTGTGCCACACAAGAAACTCCTTTCAAAAATGGGCCTCTTTTAGGATTTTTTTTACATTTTTTTAAATTGTAAAGATACTGTACAGAGGGATTACAGTTATATGAGTAAGGTAATGAGTTCATTTCCTATCAAGATTGTTACCCTCTCCTTTGTCTTTTCCCTACTATCCCTTCCCTCTCTACCTCCCCAACTCTTCCCTACCCCCCACATTGTAAAGTTCCTAGTGTCTTGTACTTCTCATTGTTACAATGGGCAATCTGTATCCTTGTTTCAGCATTTTGTTATTTCCTTTCCCCTCCCCAAATTAGAAAAATGTATATACAAGATACAGGACTTATCTGTAACTCATCCTCAAGCACATATTCGATGCTTAGGCACACACTCTTCAAAATTTTATAGGTTTGCTGTGTTCACTCTGCCTACATTGTGCCTCTTCTTGCCACATCCTTTTCTGAATTATTACAAATCAAACCTTGAATATATAGAGATCCTATCATTCTCAATGTTAAGCATTATGCATTGCAATCATCACTGCTGATTCCTAAAAACATCACACTAAGGAAAAAGGACAAGTGTCCCTTTTAGCTCTACAACTGTTTAGGATTAGGATGGATTTACTATTAAGAAATCATTAACATTGTTTCAAATGGGTGCACTGAGACATTTGGGGATTTATTAGTCAGGATTTGCTAGTTACTTACTATGTCATTTCCCAAGTAATTTGCCATCCCTGAGCTGTCATTTTTTTCCACTGAGAAAATGAGCATGATACCTGCCTGCCTTTGTGAAAGTCCATGGAAATTACTGGGAGTACAGTGCTTTGTATGTACATTACGCACAGTTGATGTTAATGTAGAGAGGACAAGTCCTATGAGCTGTTACTATCAATGGAGTTTATTGGTAGTGTTACCCCAAAAATGTCTTAGTTAACTTCCTTTAAGCTTTTGGAGAAGCTTCTACCAAGGAACCATATTAACATTCCAGGAAAAACCTTTTCATTGACACTTCTGGTAGGTTTCAGTCTAGGTACACATAAGGATATTCAGTCAATCATGCCATTTTACAAACAGGATAGCTGTTCTTTGGCCCTGTTCTCAAAGACTGCTCATTCATAAAGAAAATAGTGGAGACAGGCAGGGAAGCCTTGTTAAAAGCTTGTTGTGTTTCAGCAGTTCTGACCCCTGGCTCTGCCCCTTCCCTTGTTGTTCTCCTACTATCCCTTCCCTCCCCCACCTCCTTCCCTAATTTCTGACACTCCTGGGTCATCTCATTCTACCAGTCACTGAGGGCATTTATCGCTTATGCTATGAGTTAAGTCCGCTTCGTATTCATATACCAACATCCCTGAGATAATCAACTTAATAAAGAGTTGATTCTGGCCCACAACTTTAGAAGATTTGGCCTCAATCCTTTTGGGCCTGTGGAGAGTGAGTACATCATGTGGCAGAACCAACTCCTCACCTCTTGCCTTCAGAAAGTAAAAGGACTACCTCTATAGGCAAGAGCAGGGTTATACTATCCCCTTTTAAGCATAAGTCCTCAATGACTGGAAGGTCTTCCTCAAAGTCTGACTTCTTAAAAGATTCCAGCTGGGCGCTGGTGGTTCACGCCTGTAATCCTAGCTACTCAGGAGGCTGAGATCTGAGGATTGAGGTTCAAAGCCAGCCCGGGCAGGAGAGACCGTGAGACTCCTATCTCCAATAAACCACCAGAAAACCGGAAGTGGCGCTGTAGCTCAAGTGGTAGAGCGCTCGCCTTGAGCTGAAGAGCTGAGGGACAGCGCCCAGGCCCAGAGTTCAGGCCCCATGACCGCCAAAAAAAAAAAAAAAAAAAGGTTCCAACACTTCCCAATAGCACTATTCTGAGGAGATATTCCAGATGCGAACTAGCACGCTGTAATCCCTCTTAAATTACAGCTTTCTCTAACACCCAGATTTGTGGGAGTCATATAACTGATTCAAAATTGCTGGATTGGGTAAGACCATTTGCAAAACTTTTTAGGTAGAGTTAGGAGATATAGGATCAAAAAAATGGGTAAAAGATTGAAATAAAAGGAAGAAACTGATCCTGATTTGAAAACACTAGGAACCTTTGTCAAAGAATGTATGGTGTATGTCATTAGTTTGTTATTGAAAATAATTTATATTTAGTTTAAATTATTGAAAATAAGTCCTATAATATGATCACTAAAATAAACTGGAGTGTTATGTAAGTTTTTATACTTACTTTGGTTTTACAAAGTGCTGAAAAATGAATTTTTAGGCTTAATTAGTTGTTAGTCCACCTGGAGGCAGTACAGGCTAAAAGAAACAAAAAGTATTCAGTATTCTCAAAACTAAATAGAAATGTAAAAGAACTATTCTCCAGGATAGTTCTAGAGAATAGATAAGTATTTTCTAGAAGAGACAGAGCTGGGACATTTGTCTCTTGAGAGTGAAAATGTCTGAGTGAAAGCAAAATTCTCAAGCAATGTGTCAGACTTCGAAGATAGTAGGATATGTGGAGTAAAAGTCAAGGCTACAAACAGTAAAAAGGGCTGAGGTAATAACTTGGTCATAGAGGAACAAACAGGAAAGTTCCCTGAGTAAATATACAACTGGAGGAAATACACAACGTGCATGGGAAATGAAGCAACAGTGTGGGCAGGGAGCTTGGCAGGCCTGGCAAGTGAGGGTGGGGCTCTGGGCAAGCCCTCTTCAGACAGCCCCTCCCCCACCCTCAGAAACCTTCTGTGACTCTTCCTTGCACTGTGATGCAGGCCAGGGGTTATAGATGAGCCCTGCACTTTCAGAACCCAGTTGCCTCAGGCAGCCGTAAGATCCAGACTATGGAGAATGGTTTCTCCATAGAATGGTTTCTGAATAGTCATATTGTGCCATGGCTGAGCTTTGGCTTACAAACCCTCTTAAACGTAGACCCCAGGCTCACCTTTCTAAGTGCCTTGGGGTTGCTATTCCTATGTCTGTGTTACTGGTTGTTGAAAACACCATCACTAAAACTCCAGACAAAGAAGTACATCCAACAGGTAAGGAACTTCAAGAGAATCCCCAAAAGCGATTCTTTCTTAGAATTTTCCATCTCTGTTCTCACATCACTGAATGACTGAGGCAGTCTGACTCTCAGAGACATAGAAAATCTGAAAAGCAGACAAAGCATCTGTTATAGGCCGTGCGCCTGGCAGGGGAGGAGTCCATGGAGGACTAAGGTTTCCATCTGAAGTCCAGAGACCACATTTCTGTGTTGGAGGATCTTAGAGGAAGGGGTCACAGAGTGACACTATGGTTCTAATTGGTTTAGGGTTCGGAAGCACAGTGGCTCCTGACACTCAATCTCTCCTGAGTCAGGGGTACCATTACCAGGCTTTTCTTCCTGTTGGGATGGTCATGAGAGCAGTGCTTGACCTCTGAGGTCCTCTGAGCAGAGCCTGGTGTCTCAGTTTTGTCCACAATACAGAATCCTCCAGGGAGCACACCTGGGGCAGTTGACTGCAGATTCTATGCCCTTTTCTAGCAGAGGACCTCTGGGAACCCTAGTATGGAACTCACACATAATGCCTTCTTCAAATTTTTCCAAGAAGAAAAACTGAAAATATTTGATCACCTTTAAAAGCTAATAAAAAGAAGAATCAACTCTGAATTTAATGTAGAGACATCTTATTATTAGATAATGCTTATTAGAACTTACTACCAAGAGGAGCAATATAAATGAGTCCCAGGACCTCATTCTTTTCTTTTTTTATCTCAATGACAGGGAAGAATCAGGAGGAAGAGGAGAAGAGCATTTAGAGGTACGTTTCTTCCTATCTGATCTGAGCTCACCAAGAATGACTTTTGTCATTCTTGTCATTCTCTTGTCCCATCCACAGTTTCTGAGGATTTCAGTTACTACACTCAGTTTCTCTCATAGAATGAGCCCTCAGAGGACAGGTTCACAGAAAAATAGTTAGACCCAAGATATTTCAGAGTCCATGGTCTGCCAGTCATCAACATGAGGTAGTGACAGACCCAGGTAGTGAGTTCTGCTCACTAGGAGAGTAGATGAGATGTCAAGTTACAACTTCAATATCCAGGCATTGTGTAGAGCTTTATTCTTGGGAGCTCAGATTTATATCTGAGGTAACCACTGACTTCAAGGCTTCACAAGGTAGGTTTAGGCATCACGTGAGATGATGCAGAAAATGATGCCAACTACATATGAGCATTCTTAATGAAGGAAACTGATCATTTGACTCTGTCTACTGATATTTGGGGCCGTTAGCATTTATATCCTAAGTGTTTCACATAGAGGGACACTGATACGATCCTTATGTTCCTACTCCTGTTACATGTAGCCCATTGTCCTGGTTTTCCAGGTTGGAGAAGTCGCCGAGAAGAAGCAGAGGAGGGGAGGAAGCTTCTTTCTATTCTGAAAAGGTGATTATTATTTCCCATTCTATCCTGGTCCCTTTTTAAGTAATGTATCCTGGGGATGACGTGCTGTCTGTCCCTGTCATGGGACGGATAGCCACAGAAAAGCACATGAAGGAAGGTTCTGGGGAGAAGCTCTAGATTGTGTTGTGATGTCAGGGGTGTTAGAAAACATAAAGTAGCAGGCAACCTGACAACCACTGGGCCAGTAGGCCCTCTCTTCCTTGTGCTAGTCACAGATACAGCTTTGTCCTTCTGTCTCCTGCAGCCCCCTGAACCTACAGCATGACACCACCTACTTTCGGCAACTGCTCTGCCCAGACCCCTTCTGTGAGGTATGCAACAGAACAACTGCTGAGGTCAGTCATTTGCTTTCTCAGGCATACTTGAAGGAAACCGCATGTGCTCTGTCTCCATTAGCTTCCACAGCTACCATGAAAAAGTCGTCAGCTCTGACCACTGCTCTTTCAGCAATTCCTCCAGAGCAATCAATTCAAGCCCCTACTTCTGAACTTTCTTCATCCACCTTCTCTGTACTCTCACCAAACCAAGATACTCCCTTGAAGGACTTAAATTCACCCTCACCACTGGATGATTCTGGGCTATCAGAATCAATTTCTCCTTTGGATATCAAATTCCCAGTGGACCCATCACCAGCTGAACAACTTGCCTTAGCGCCTCATACTCAGGGAAAAGAACTTGTTCTTCAACAAAATTGTCCTTTGTCTCCTGTGGACAGTCCTGATAGATTGTCTACTTATGACCCAAAAACAAGAGGCACTAACTCTTCCAGCTTAACAATGTCAGGATTCTCTTGTAGGGAGCCTATTGTGAAAAACACACACCTTTCTGATTTGGTAGAATGTGAGGCCAGGAAGGATTTCCTTGACCTTCATTCTTCTGAGGGTTCTACAGGAGGTATCCCTGCTACCTACTCTGTAGAACCTTGTAACCTCTCATTTGTCAAACTTGATGACCTCAAATTCCCGGAAACACAAATTAAGAAGCCAGAAGGGTTCTTGATGTGGAAAGAAAAGGAAAAAAAACCTGCTTCCTTTTCAAACCAAGACATGCTACTGAATTCCGTAGGAAAAGTATTAGAGTCTGTTGCTGAGCAGCAGGACTTGGCAGTTTCCCTTCCATTTGGGAGCTTCAATGGCAAGCAAGGGGGGCTACACAAGTACATGCAGGCCCCAGGTCCAAATCCCTATGAGGACCATTCTCAGCAAAAATCATCTACCAAGTACTTCTGGGGTCTCCCATCTCTACACAGTGAGTCCTTAAGCTCTACTGTCTCTGCCTTAAGTGACTATACTTTGAAACTTGTCTGCTTCAATATAATCTCCAATGTCTCCACAGCCCATGAATCCCCCATCATCCCTAATCCTAAACCTCTGCCATTATCTGAGATCCAATCTCAAGTCTTACCTGAGAACTTGCCTCAATATCTTCCAAGGGCCCAGGCCCAGCTTGAATCTCCACTCTTAGTCCTTCCTGCTTCTCCCATACCCCAGGTTAGGACCTGTGGAGTCTGTTTTTATGGACCACAGAAGGAGGCACAGCTTCTTATGCCATCTGAAATTCGTCTCCTAGAAAATAATATATTGCAGAAAAAGCAGGAGAGTGTATGGGGTTTACCCTCTGTGGTCCAGAGATCCCGGGAAGATTTTTGTCCACCAGCTCCAAAACTTCCATTGGTCAGACAGTATTCCAAGGCTAATGTTACAGTCTCCATCCTTCCTGGTGATTTCCCCCTAACCAGTGGCCTGCGGCAAAAACTAGAGCATCACCTTCAAAAGAGGCTCATCCAGCACCACTGGGGCCTGCCCCACAGGATCCAGGAGTCTCTGTCACTGATAAATCCTAGGATAGAAATTCCCCAGAGCTCTGAGTCTAAGAGGAATCAGGAGCTCTCATGCATTTCCTCCTTGAAATGTCAGAGCAGCAAACATCCAAACTTTGAATTGAGCCAACTTGAAAGCTCTGATGAGAAGAGCTATGAGATACCTTTGCAAGAAGAAGAAATGGGGAAAGAACAAGGACATAGTCCAGAGATTGGTTCCACAGACCATCTGTCTAGTGACTCAGAGGGGGTTCCACATACTAGTTCGGAGTCTGACTCTGAGTCAAGCCCAGAAAGTTACACAGGGAGTGTATCAAAGAATAATATAAGTACCTCACTGAGTCAGAAACAACTCAAAGATGCCCTGGAAAAACACTGGAACAAGAAATTTGCAGAAATCAATGAAGATCAGACTGCTGGTTCACATCATTCCAACAACATGCACTTGCCTTCAAGTGAAAAATTCCCTAGCCAAATGAAACAGAGAACACTGGAACCATTGATGGGGAAGGACAGCAGCTTGAACACATCCCATGATAGTTCCTTCCATGATTCCAGCAAACAAAATATTTTGGCAGACCGTATTAAGTTTTTCCATATGAAGATGATGCATGGCCTTCTCCAGAAAGTCCAAGAATCCATAGAAATTGTTAATGAAAAAGAAAGTACATCCCAGGCCTATTCCAACTTTAAACTTTCTTCCCCATCCAACTCCATTTCTGGAGTGGATTCTACATTTAGTGTTTCTCAGCCTTTTGGAGAAAATTCTGATAGTGAAGAGAAGATAAGAATGACAAATTCAACCTCCATCGTAGATTGTCCTGATCCTGCTGCCTTACCCGTGAGCAAGGAAGGGCAGGGATCCCAGAGACAATCATCCCCTGATATGAAGCATGAGCATGTAGATCTTCCCAAAACGAAGGATAGAAATTGTCCTTCACTTTGCCAGACACAAAGTGTCAGCAACAAAGCCAGTCTGAAACAGCCTGCAGCCAGCAATAATCATGGGCCCAAGCTACGCACAAGGCTACCTGGAGCTGTATCTGACCCACTGAGTAAGAGAAAAATTTCTGACAAAAGTGTAAAACAACCTCAGGGAAAAAGCACGATGCTGAGAAATACCATGGTTAGCACAGAAAAATCCAGAGAGAGATCTAAGGTTGAGGATCTCTGTAATCTTCAATCACAACCTAGTACCACCTTAAAAACCAGCAAGTGCAAGAGCTCCCTAGTGACAGATGTAGTTACCAGTAAAGTAGAAACTACATTGACTACTCAAAGTCCCTTTATGGGGATACCAGGTCCCCATGGTCCTGAAATATCAGCTTTAAAATACAAACTTTTTGATGAGTTGAAATTGAAAATGGAGAGCAAAAAGACAGGAAAGGCCCAGGGTCTTCAGGATGACCTGCCTGTGAAGTCAGATAAGTTGAAAGACATGATTTTACGTACTTTAAACTCTAGTGTCACCAGTGGGGACACAGCAGTTTCCCATGTGCTGTGTGCACAACTGGACAAGACAAAGACCAGCAGGGAGGAGGGACAGGATGACCTCCATAACGGTCAAGGCAAAAATTTGCCACAAGGAAACAAGGCCATGAGCCATCCAACATCAAAAGCAGGTGAGCTTGGTAGAGAAGATGCAGTGATCTCTGTATCCCAACTCACAAAGAGGAGCCACCATCCTCAAAATAAAACATTAAAGGAGATGGCTGGGACCAAATCCTCCCCGCTGCTGTCACGGAAGGAACAGCCTCCTCATGAAAACCGTTTCAGAAACCACATGAAACAATTTTTTCAGTGGCTTAGTTCAGGTAAAAATGGCAAAGGACAAGAAAGTTCCCAGGGAAACAACAGTTCTCCATCATCATCTGTGCAGGCTAGAAGCCCAGGTAAAGGGAGAGCTGCTTTTCCTGGGACCACTAAAAATCAGAAAGTCACCAGAAACACTGGGAAAGTCCCAATAGTGAAACGAGGGCAGAGGCATGGAGTGGATGCCACATGCCCCCAGGAACCCCCTTTGACTCCCATGAAGTCTGGGAAAACTCAACAGAAGGCAGAAATGCAGACCCAGACAGATTGTATCCAGGGTCAGCATGTCAGCTACAAAGCTTCCTGCTCTAGAATGTCATGTGTCAACTCCAGGATGCAAGAGACTGTTTGTCCTGACCAGAGTTACCTTGAGAAAAATAGGCAGGGCACAGGCTGGCATGGAGAGCCAACAAATGTTGTGCTGTTTACTGAGCACAGGTATCCCACAGCCATGGCACACAGGGAGCCAGGGCTCCACAGGGGACCCATCTGCAGACATCAAGTGCATCGGATGCCTCTGGCTGCCCCTATCATTCCTAATGACAGTGTGTTGGAAAATGTTTCCCTCTTGAAAGAGAGAATCTTCATCATTCCCGGAGACAAAAGTTTCCTTCCTCAAAATAATTCATTCCTTTTCCCCCAATAAACCTTCAACACATTGCCTGCAATAAATGTTCTGACAGTAGTTCTGTCTTTTGCATACTGTTTTGTGCGTATGCTTTCGGGGTAATGCATGGCTGGTACCTAGGGATAGGGGGCAATCAGCAATTTCCTCTGTTTTTTATAAGATGAGTTTGTTGGAGCACAAATTGAATGGCTATAATCCCAAATCCCTTTCCCTACCTAATAAAGCTGAGCTATTATAACACTGACAACTGGAAGATCTCAGCTCACTGATGGCTTTCCATCCTCCAAAACAGTAGTGAAGAACTAGTGTATCTGTACAAGGGATTAAAGGCAAGTATATGTTTCAGAATAACGTGTGTGTGTGTGTGTGTGTGTGTGTGTTGGGGGGGGGGTCCTGGGGCTTGAACTCAGGGTGCTGCACTGAATTCAAGCTCCATGGCCGAAAAAGTCTCATGTACTTTCCTGCCCAGACTGGCTTTGGACTGCAGTCCTCAGATCTTAGCCTCCTGAGTAACTAGAATTACAAGTGTGAACCACTGGCACCCAATGCACAGCTTGACTTTTTAAAGAAAGATGTAGATATTTATAAGATTATGTCTTTGTTGCCTTCTATGTCCCTCCCCCATGGTACAACCCCTGCTTTCACTATACATGATGTTGGTATATGTGGAGGGGAAGGGAAAAAACAAATTGTTAAAACAGGAATACAGGAGGACCCATTGCAACAATGAGATGTACAAGTCGTTATGTCGAAAAACGAACTTTACAACTTTGGTGGGGGGAGGATACGAAGGATTGGGAAAGGGAAACAAAGCAGGAGGCTACAATGCTTGATAAGAAATGTGCTCATTATCTTACCCATGTAATTGTAACCCCTCTGTACAGTATTTTCACAACAAAAATATTTTTTGAAAAAAGAAAGATGTAGAAATACCTGTATTTAAAATAATTTCTTGACATTGTAAAATAATTTTATATTATGATGTATGGGTGGTAGGGTGATCTATAGAGCAATCTATAGGTAGAGTTATAGAGCCGTAGAACAAACAAAAGGAACCTGAAGGAACATAATGGGAATGGGGAAGAATATACAAAGAAACAAACAAAAAATCACATAGTACATTATAAGTACATTAAAAAGAACAGCAACAAAGATAAGACTTCTTGTGTCCCTATCTTGGGGTTCATTTTGCTTAGCATCAGGTTATATGGTCATATGTACATAGCTTTTGACCTCTTCTGCTTGTCCTAAGGGAAACCATGGGACGTATGTTTCTTTGAGTCTGGCTTACTTCACTTAATTCCTTTTCTATAGAATACTGGGAGCAAGAATGCAGCCTGGGTGGAAATATGATTGAGGGTTGAAAGACAAAAAATGAGGAAGAGTAAAACTCATAAGTAGACACTGGCAGGCTGACATCAAGGTTCATGAAGGGGAAAATAAAAAAAAAAGCTGAAGAGAGAACATGAAAGCTTTAACAATAAGTGATATCTCTGGAAGATTTGAGCGAGTCAACTTTCCTATAGTTTTACACCCATAAATACACACACACGTGTGTGTGTGTGTGCATGCACATACATATACAGTAATTACTGCTTTCCCTGGAATCACAATACTATAAGAAAAATATTTCCCAAAGGGAAAGCCTGATGGCAGCAGCACCATCTGGACCTCACTCCTATGTTCACCTGCCTCCTATTCACCTTGAAGAAGGCAAGCAGGAGTCAAAAGGAACTTGTCTGGGAGGAAAAGGTCTTCCCTAGCCCTCTGCTGTCAGCTACTGGTTCTCCTTCAACTTATCCTTGGCACCAAGTGATTACAATATCAGGAGGAAGGATGAGACCAGGACTTTTGCCTGGGTAGATGAGAACTAAGACAACTATCACCTGCCAAAAGCTGTGTGACAGGAACAGGGGCAAAGGAATGGTGGTGAGGAAAGAGAGTAGGTTAGGTAATAGAGTAGGACGGTACATATTCATCTGTATGTGTATTATATGTTGACCCATGTATATGTGAAAACCCTTGTTATAGAATGAACTAGGGACAGAGCTGAAGGCCTTCCATGTTCCTTGTTAGATCAGGTTCAAGGTGGGATTAAAATAGATTGGAAACCCTATGTTATCACCAGGGAGGACCACCCACACAGACGCAAGAGACTCAGGCTGGTAGGAAGCAAGACAATCTTTCCCACCCCCACCATCCCAGTTCCTCAACTTTTAAACAACCAATCATCAAAAGGAAGAAAACACAAAAGCCTAAGACAAAGGAGGAGAGAAGGTGAGAGAGGAAAGCAAGTATTCTCATGCTAATATCCTACACACACAAAAAAAAAAATTCTGGAATTCTCCAAAAATTAGGGCAGGCTGGGTGTGAGGCATTAAGGAAGGAGATAGAAGAGTTCTTGTGGCCCAAAAAGAGGTGACACATCACAGAACTAGATGAGAGTTTAATTAGACTCTAACTAAAAACAGAGGTGTGATTACTATTTCCAGTTTCCCCATCACAGTACTAATATAACAAACTAAGGCAATGTTGGCTTTGCACCAGACTCACTGAGTCCCCTGGCTCTGGCCTCAGTACAATGTATCTGTGTTACTACTACTGGGCCATTTGATTTTCTTGATATTTTTTAAGATCATGTCATACAGAGTTAAATACTGATTACTCAGCTTTGCATATGATAAGCTGAAGACTGACATTTTTTTTCTCATCAAACTGTCACAGTGAGGGGATAGTCCTCCACATGAGGATGTTTAGCTGTTTTAGAAGCCAATTTAGCTCTTATAATCTAGAAATCTGGTCCAGAGACAGAGCTTTACTCTCAACAGTTTTTAGCTTTGTAACTGTCTCTTTCTGAATAGGTATCAAGTTGTTCCCATTGTCTATCCTGAGAATCAAGAGCTGTAACCACATTTAGACTGTGTTACATTTCTGGGTCAGCAGCCAGATCTCAGGTTTCATTTTCTGGGGGTGGGGGGGAAGGAGGAGGAGGATTGGGTTGTGGGGGGTGGGGGGGAGGAGGATGGGAAGGGAAACAAAGGAGGAGGCTACAATGCTTGATAAGAAATGGACTCATTATCTTGCCCATATAATTGTAACCCCTCTGTACACTATTTTCACTATAAAAAAATGTCCACTTGGGGCTGGGAAGGTGGCTCAGTGGTAGAGCTCTTGCCTTGCATGCCTGAGGCCCTGGGTTTGATTCCTCAGCACCACATAAGCAAAAAGAAAAAAGCCGGAAGTGGCGCTGTGGCTCCAGTGGTAGAGAACTAGCCTTGAGCTGAAGAGCTGAGGGACAGCGCCCAGGCCCAGAGTTCAGGCCCCACGACCGGACCCCCCCCAAAAAAAATGTCCACTAGCTGCTGGTTGCTTTTTTTTTGCTTCCTATTGGGCATCACAAACACCTTGGTTCCTTAGAAGGTCTCTTCACATTCATCCAACCTTCACTTCTTATAAGTGAGGCCATCCAGACCATCGTGGATATTGGTGGGAAGAATGGGGTCAGGGACAGGGAGAACCATGTCTAAGTAGATGAGTTTGGTCATAGATGTCTAGAATTGATTCCTTAAACCATCAGGTTCTAACAGTTTTTTTTGGGGGGGGGATTGTCATGTCTTTCACCTCACTTGTGATAAACTCTCTGAAACAATCAACCTTGAGCTTCACTTCCTGATCCATCTTCAGCAATGAGGCCATGGCCCAGCTGGGCAGTGTTCACTCTGCTGGAGACCAGAGGCTCTAGGAAGAGGACCAGAGGGACCTGAGGAATCTCAGCTGCCCTTAGGACCTAGACACCCTCACTGGCTTTCTCAATGCTTGTTCTTTCCTTGCCTCCATCAGCCTGGTCCTCCTGTACCCCAATCTGTCCATCTGGCTGCCCACTGGCTGCCCACTCCTGGCTTTTGCCCCTCATGTTGAAAGCCGCATCACCACAGCTAGACTTAAAAAAATATCCAGCTAGCTAGAGGATGTCACGTAGGCGGTGACTCTCTTATGTGTGTTTGAGGGACAAAAGTTTCCTCCCTCAATTCATTCTTTTCCTCAATAAATGTGCACAGAGCTGGGAGGGGGCAGAGTCTAGGAATGGAATGAGTACTGCTAAAAATGCGTCCTATGTTATATACTGAGTTTCAGAAGCATTCTTTGATCTGGCAAATCATCCATGGATGATCTTACCTCCTATTTATAGGTGTGTCAAAATAAAAGATTTCTGCTACTTCCTGTAAATATATCATTTTATCTCCAGAGTTTTGCCATTGCCCCTATCATGTCTGACTCTTAGGGCTTCAGGAAAAATGCAGATTATATGAATATATGTTCTTATTGAAAAAAAAGAAAATGTAGGGATACTTTAGAGTACCTCAATATCCATTGTAGAGTCAATTTCAGTAAGACTTAAAAGATTTAAAAAGTAGAAGTGCTTAGCTGGACGCCGGTGGTTCACGCCTGTAATACTAGCTACTCAGGAGGCTGAGATATGAGGATCATGGTTCAAAGCCAGCCCAGGCAGCAAACTCCGTGAGACTCTTTCCTCCAATAAACCAATAGAAAACTGGAAGTGGTGCTGTGGCTCAAGCGGTAGAGTGCTTGCCTTGAGCTGAAGAGCTGAGGGATAGAGCCCAGGCCCAGAGTTCAAGCCCCATGACCGACCAAAAAAAAAAAAAGTAGAAGTGTTTAAAAAGTGTGAATGGTAGGAATGGGAGAAGATATTACAGAACAAGTCAATATATTTTTGAAATCTAGAGGAGAGGTAAATGACTTAGCAAAGCAGAAAATCATCCACAAAACAGCTTCTCCCACAAAACCCTACAAGTAGATGACTCAGTAGGAACCAATAAGAAAGAAATCTAGAGTTATGTGTTATGAACATGATTCCTTGAAATTTTGGTTTCAGGGAATCAAGTTTTTCCTGGGATAACCATTTCAGAGATGGCATTGAGTATAACTAGGGTCTGGCTGTGGTGTGAGGAAGCTGTGGGAATCAAAGCTAAAAATTTTGTTAAGTAATGCTCAGTACA